ATATATATATATATATATATATATATATATATATATATATATATATATATATATATTTTTTTGTTTTGTTTTTTTATATATCTCAAGCCGGGAGAAGTGTGTGGACGGCGTACCCCCACGTACCACGACCACTACACCTCTGGGCACAACTATGTTCTGTTGTGACGTTGTGAAAAGCACTTCACAATTCATACTGTTAAGTCAGGAATAACTCTGGACCACGACAAACACTTTACAACGAACAAGTTCTGTTATTCTAAACTGTAAAACTGCCTGTGTGAAGGTTCATGTATGTCCGTGCTTATTAAAAGTCCACAAAAACCTGACCCCTGTTAGAACGCTGTTACTTCATCACGAACATACCTCGAGTTGTGTCTTATTTTGTTTGTTGCGTTTGTTATTATAAAGCGTTAGTCAAACTTTTGTCCACAAAGAATCCAAGTCTATCTTTATCACTCTCCTGCATCCTTCAAAAACAGCGGCACGTCTAAAAATACTCCAACCACAGCATCACAACATCTTCTTCTTCTGCTCTGTGTGGGCCCTCAACCTAGAAACCCACTTTTGGTCAAATTACAACTCGGAGCTAAAACAGGGGAGGTTTGGAGGGCTGCTTTGACAGGTGACATGGGGTCAAAGCGTGTGTGTGTGTCCATGTGTGTGTGTTGTGTGTGTGTGTGTGTGTTGTTAGCGTGCAGCGGAGGAGAAGGCTGGGGGGATTCTGACAGTTTACACTTCTCCGTTGGACGATACAGAGGAAGAGGAGAGAAATGAACAAGCAGACTTCAAACAGGAAAAATTCACTGATCTGAACGGAGAATGGACGGGAAAAGTGTGGTTTATAATGAGCGGGTCAGACATGCTGTGAAGCCATGCAAACCTTGTGACTTTTTTTTTATCTGAATAGGGAATAAAAATAATATACAGTTTGGATATTTTGGATATTTTTTGATGATAATAATTCAACTTTCGATGTTCAGTGATAGTGTGGAAGGCAGGCACAGGCAATACACGCATCAAGAATCTCAGACTTCAGGTCATTGTGCAGTGCATACTGGGAAGGATTTTCCGAAAAAGTGAGCACCAAACCTCCATGTTTGATTTTACAGTGGGACGTGTCTATTGACAAAGCTGATCTTTTCAAGTCAAGTCATCGCTTTTGTTTCTGGTTCTGATATTGTCATATTTTAGTTTTGGGATTCAGACATCGTTAATTGTGTGGTTGTTGGATCCTAACAGCGGAAAACGGCTCGAGAAATTGGTTTGCGAACTCCTTTAATGCAAAAGGAAATCAGATGTGTGTGACTGCAAACCTCTGTTCAAACTGTTTCTCTTCCCAACGGAATTGAAAAATAGTGAAAGGCGAAAGCGATGGGCAGTACTGATCCATGGGAAAGACGAAAAAGGAAACCTTTGACTGCCTAAATCATCCCGAGTTTGCAGCGAACATTTTGTATGTGGAGCGACATCAAAGCGGGATCCCGTTTGTTAAGTGAGAGGTGCAGAAGACAAACAGGCCGAGCTGCACTTTCTTGTTCTTGTAGTTTCACAGCAACATTAAGTCTTGGTCTCTTTGCAGTGGAAGGTGTTTCTTGGCGAACAGCTGGTGCCTCTCGCTTTGGCATTGACTTTTTTAATTTGTTACCAAGACTAAGTGAGGGATCAGGGTTTTGCTTTGATGGCGCGATGTGTTTCGTGTTGTGTTTTTTCCTGAAGCTACAATCGTCACTACTTCGATTAACTTTGTAAAAAATCGGCGAAAACACATCCTTGAATCCTATTGGTCAGTCTAGTGTGGGTTGTAGTGGATCTCACCTATCGCAGCCTCTGTTTAGATGTGAAAACCGACCGAAAAATCACGTCTTTAGTGATACAGGGGAGGTGTCAAAACACGTCATTAAGGAAACAAGGGGGGGGGGGGTCGTCAAATGTTGTCTTCACGGGGTAAAGAGTTAACATTTAAACAAACTTATACAGACGATTGAGAAGACTGAACACAAATGCCCTGAAAAGAAAATCGGATTTTGCACATTACAAACTGCAAGTTGTGAAATCTGCAGCGGAAAGTAGAAATCGAGCAGTAGAAAGAAAGTTTGGAGTGAGAGAGAAACTTGCATGAAACTTTCCTGAAGTCACTGGATGGATGGACAAAGTCTGGACTTCAGTGGCACCGAAACCATCCTGTCGGGATTCAGAAAGACCCAAATAATTCTAACTGGAACTGATGCTGAGTCTGACGACAGCGACACAGAAGAGGAAGCAACGCTCTGTTTACCTCCAGAGGTTGAGTTGTTCAGAAGTGACACCGAGGATGAAGAATTGAATGGATTTATTGATTTGGAGTGAGATGGAGAGTTTGATAAACTTGTTCTGTTCTGTTGTGTATGTTATAGTTTATCTGAAGAACTGTTCATATGTGACGTTAACAGTCTGTTGTTCTCTCTTATATTGTTATTACTAGAACTTCACTTTCAACATGAAATGTCGGCTCCTGGTCTCTAATTTTATAAAGAAAATTTCCCCAAAAAGTACAACTTATAGTCCAGTGCAACTGATATATATGTTTTTCTTCTTCATTACACATTTTTTGGCTGGTGCGACTTATACTCCTGAGCGACTTAAAGTCCGGAAAATCCAATAACTTAGTGAACTCACTTGTGAATTCTTGCGCAGTCTAAAGAAACAAAATTTTATTGTTTGAAAATGCAGAATAAAGAGTCTGATATGCTGCTAAAATCTGTTTTGGCTGTTTGAGGAGGTCCACCCCGCCTCTTTTCACTATCTGAAAAAAGCAGTTCTAAAGCTGATCCTTTGTGCATGTGAATATTGATCTGCCAAAGGGTTTGTGAGATCTACACAACACTTAGATTAGATTAAAATATGGACTTTCTCCTTCTCCTCACGATTCTCCTTTTATAATTTGATGCGCACTCTTAAAGGTACACGGCATTACATTTGTGGTAGAGCATCTGTTACTTACTGGTCTCCATGAGGATTAATGCTTTCACTGGAATGTTCCAGGGTATGACCTTAAACACAGTTTTCTATAGCAGTTGTTTTTTGTTTTGTTTTTTTTCTTCTGTGTTTCTGTTTCTCAAAAAATACAATAATCTCTCTGTCAATAGGGTTGCCTCTCCACAGATCTGACCTGTAATGTAGCCTGTAGTTGTCTCCCTTGAGATAGATACAGTAGGTTTAATCTATGCTGTGGAACATTTTCTTAACATTCTATAAACTCACAGTATTTCTCCTCAAAAACAAAAAAACAAAAACAAAAAGACTCTAGTATGAGGTAAGTACTTTTTATGATGTCACCAGCTACTTTCTGCTTTTTCACTCTGACAACATGACAATAACTCTTGTTCAAATAAAATGATCTAATCAAATAAATGTGACATTAGCAAAGTGTGTTATGGGTCTGTGTACCACTCATTCTTTTCATTTCAATTAAGAACAAAATACAATAAAATGGGAAAATAGTTTGTTATTTCATGACTCTGGTGCTCCCCTCCCTCTTTTCCCCCGTGTGTGCGTGTGTGTGTGTGTGTGTGTGTGAGTGTGTGTGTGTGTGTGTGTGTGTGTGTGTGCGTGTGTGTGTGTGTGTGTGTGTGGGCGGAGTCTCCTTGGACCTCTGACTCACCTGCGAGCAATCATCTACTTGAGACCTGCTCACCTGCGAGACTCTGCCAGATTGTTTTCAACCAACACACGGTGAACCTCTTGGCTCCTCAACCTCGAGTTTTTTGCCACTTACCTTTTTGCCTCGACGTTTTACTTACCTGCCCTCTCTGCCCTCCAGTGATCCTGCTGCCACGCTCCGAGCCACGCCCCGAGCCACGCCCCGAGCCACGCCCCGAGCCACGCCCCGAGCCACGCCCGAGCCACGCCCCGAGCCACGCCCCGAGCCACGCCCCGAGCCACGCCCCGAGCCACGCCCCGAGCCACGCTCTCATTATACCAATTGTAAAATAAATTCTCCTTTTTCATTTTTGTGAACTGCTCTGCAGTCCATTTTTTGGGTCCCTCCATTGTTGCGCCACATAACATTTCGGCCTCTATTTCCAATATTTAATGTAAACTTTCTTTAGAATAACACCAATCAAAAAAACGTCATCGTGCCTCTTTCAATTTTGATATTTTATTCTCTTATTTGCCTCTAAAGTTCTGCTGCTAGAAGAACTTACTGGAAAAATATTTGCAATTTTGTGGACAAATATTTCCTTTTCTTTTATAGCGGCTCGTTTACTTTCATGTCTTAGAAAGTCATTGTTGAACTCCGTGACGCTCAGTTAGTTATGTTCATAGAACTATAATAAAAAGTTTTTTATTATAGTTCATAGAACTAAAATAATGTTTTAAAATTATAGATCCATGATTGACAGTGAATTCACATACAGAACTTCAGTGTGAATAAACCAGAGAGAATAAAATATGAAAACTGAAATAGGCACCAAGACTGACTGACTGGTATTATTTGAAATAAACTTTGAATTAAATATTGTGAATAGAGGTCAAAATCTGTTTTGTTTTTTTTGTTTGTTTTTTTTTGTTTGACACTAAATTGGAATATTGAAATAACAGTTTTCCCATTTTATTGTTTTTCGTTCTTCACTGAAATTCAAAAGAACAAATGGTACGTGGACCGTGAAGCTGGTTTAGAACATTTGAAAAGTGGAGAATAATGTAAAAGTCAGTGAAATGTCTCTAGTGTTATGCTCATTTAGTACAACATTGAGGTTTACAATGAACAAAATGTTACATAATAATCTACATGTTTATAGTTTAATTCTAAACACCCTAAAACACAGATGCATCTCCTTTAAAGACATTTTAAAAACCTATTTTGGAAATGAACATGTGTGTATCTGGTTCATTAAAGAGGATCTTGTGCCTTTAGCTCGTCTCTGTCTTTCCTCCTTGACCTCCTTCTCGTCGGCTGCATTGTCCTGTACTGTAACAGTGATAATAGAGATAGATGGCGCGGACTCGGAGGCACTCACCGACGCACGACTCCCCGTTGGCGGAGAAGAGGCCGTTGTCGTGGTAACCGTCGCGGCATTCGCAGTGGTACCATCCGGGCAGGTTCACACACGTGGATTTACTGTCACACTCCACGAAGCCGTCCACGCACTCATCGATATCTGTGAGGAGGAGGAGGAAGAGGAGGGTTATTACTGAAAGACCTGTATTTTTCCTCATCAAAAACATGATTTAACAGAAAAAAGTTGTTCTGAGAGTCACAGAGTCCACATTGCCCGTTGGTTACATTGTACTTTGCCATGAAATATTTAAAAGGTAAAGTCACAAATGTTGAACCAAACAACTCACTGTATTAAATATGTTTGGTCTATAGGCAAGTTTCAGCTGACGTCATTGTTATTAAAAGCCGGCGTTGCATGCTGGGAAATATTTTGGTCGGAGGCAAGAAACAAGATAGCGGTCAAAGACAGTGCGTAACCTCGTGTATTTATCCCTGATAATGGTAAATTCCTGCTGCATTATCGGATGCACAAATAGAAAGCACGGAAGAAGGAAAATGTCTTTTTCGTATTCTGAGTGAAAAGAACCACTAACGGTGAATTAAATGGCTTTCAAACATCCGCAGAGCAAACGTAGAAGATCCTAACAAACCGTGGACTCCAACAAGTTCAACAACACATCGAGACTCTTGGAGGTTTTCATCTTTTCTGCTGTGAATGGCCCAGGAGTTTCCACCAAGTCATTGTGGATATCGCCCAAGTGAATATTTGTCCAGGTAGTTGGCGATTCTGACCAGAAATTTGGTTTGGTCCACCTTTTGTCGGGGTTGAAAAGGGTGATTTGGCTCCATCGATGCTTATGACCAATTTCTGGTCAAATGGTCTTGGGTCCTCTGCCGTTAGAGTGGATAAATAACCGGGATCAATACCCTTTACGTGCTTTCTCGCTCCGTCTGTCATGGTGAATTAGTGTTTATTGCCGCCAACCAAAATAATTCCCAGCATGCAACGTGCGCTTTTGTCAACAATGAAACTCGCCTATAGAATGTTGTGATGTCGTCTGAAACCACCTACGGGATTTGGGAAAAGCTTAATAAACCAGTTATCCCCATTAGCGGAGCATTACATACGTCACGACCAAATAGCAGTGACTGGTTAAATGAAAAAAAAGTACCTGCCTACCATCGAATGAACGAATCCTAACACTGTGAGGTCAGACGGTTTCCACAAAGTGTTTAGGACAGCTGTACCGTGAGACCTAGACTACAATTTTTCAAAAGCAGTTCAACTACAATTATATAAACAGGTATAAGCACAAGTATATGTATAAGTAAATCCTCTGCTATCCACAAGTAAACAGAAACTTTTCTCTTCTTGTTTTATTGTGATGTGTGCAGAGAGGAGACAGGACGGAGATTAGACCAGTGTCCCGTGCACAGTGTGTGTGCACAGTGTGTGTGTGTGTGTGCCGGGGACATTCCTATGGAGATGGATGTGTAATGGATAAAGCCCAGGAGCAGTGTGAGTGTGCTCCTGGCTCCTGACGCTGCATCGATCTGACACGGCTCTGAAGCACGAGGACATCCATATCAATAAGTGAATGAGGGAAATGAATTCATCTCATAACAAGCACAACTTCAAATGCCATTACTGCGCCTGTTCATGGATCTTAGCCTCCTCTTATAGGTGACATTTTCAGGACTTTTCATTGCATTTTATGAATCTACAATGGACAAGTCCAACAAAGTCCCTTCAATAATATTAATCCATGGATTTCAGAGTGATGTAAATCCAACAGTTGCCATAGAAATGAAGAGTTCAGAGTCAAATGCTCCTTTTGTCCTTTTTGAATGGTCAGCCATCCTCACAATGGCATCATATGTTCACAATCTCTAAGTGAAGGAGTCATTTCAGAAGGAGGGCAGAGGCTTATAAAACTCTACGGGAGAATCGCTGTTTTTGAAAGAAATCTACAAACTCCAAATCCACAAATGTTGAACCTGACCATTACTAGTGAGAGATTAGCTTCACAAACGTGTCATTAGTCTTATGTTTTAAGACCATTAAACTGACAACAATCACGGCTTTGTGGTTGGATAATGGCACCACTTTCTGAAAATGTACAATGAGTGTGTTGTATATATAGTGTGTTTACAGTGAGTGTGTTGTGTGTATACTAGGGATGGGCATTCGATGAAATTTTCTTAATCGATCGTCGGAAGAATTAACGATCGATTATCGATTAATCATTAACGTTTTTATATTAAAATGATCATCATTATTATTACTATCTGCACTACTAATCTGCATAAATAAATTCAACTTTACGACATATAAACTGTAACCACTCTAGATCCACATCAGCCCGTTTGACATTATAATGTGTTTAATTCAGTTTTGTGCAACTCTCACAGAAACAAAACTTAAAACAGCATGGCTAATTTGCATAAACTAAGCGAAGATAAAACTCCAGCTCTTGTGTCATTGATGCAGTCAATTTCTGTCAGATTAAAAGACATGACTCAGGTGAATACAGGTTAGTGTGACCAGATTTGTGTTTGTCAAAACCAGGACACCGTACGGGGGGAGGGAGGTGGGGACTCGTCATCCACATTGCGCGACTCTCACCTGGAAAAACTTTTTCCCACTGGACACAGAAACATATGTGCTGCTTTATACACTGTGCACATGGACTCACACTTGTCCCGAACGCAACAGAAAGCCTGGAATTTCTTGTACAAATCATCGTTAAATACACATTTGTGCTTCAGTACGTTGCAGACTGACCCACTGTTTGTGTCTCGCTCCTTCTGATGCAGAGACACATGTACACACCTGTTTGGTCAACTTACCTACATTCGGTTTGTCAATTAAAATGAACATAATCAATGAAATTCTTAATGATCAATTATCGATTAATCATGCCCATCCCTAATGTATAGTGTGCTGGTTTTATGTACATTTGTGTGATTGTTGTTGTATTTTTCTGTGTCCTGTAGATGATTTCACATCAACCTGCTGAGGGACTGAAGAGCGGTACAGAGCGGGTATAGAGTGGGTACAGAGCGGGTATAGAGTGGGTACAGAGCGGGTACACAGTGGGTACAGACAGGTATGCAGTGGGTACACAGTAGAGTGGGTACAGAGCGGGTATAGAGTGGGTACAGAGTGGGTATAGAGTGGGTACAGAGCGGGTACACAGTGGGTACAGAGCAGGTATGCAGTGGGTACACAGTGGGTGCAGAGTGGGCACAGAATGGGTAGAGAGCAGAACAAAAATAAATAAATGTATTTCCACACTGGTCGGGTTTCTGCTCCTCTCCACCGCACAAGGACAAACCAACCACTGTAATGTTTGAAGCAACATTTAATTAAACTAACAGTGCGACTGACACACAAGAGAGAGACAGAAAGAGGGAGGGAGGGATGGATGGAGAGAGGGAGAGAGGAAGGAAAAAGAGAGAGCGAGGAGAGAGACAAAAGGAGAGGGCAAAAAAGTAGAAAAGGGAGAAAGCGAGAGAAGTGAAGAGGGTGAGAAAGAGGGGAGACACTGGGAGGAGGAAGGAGAGGGGAAGAAAGAGAAACAGAGACAGAAGAGGAAGAAGGAAGAGAGTAAAAAAGAAAGAGAGAACCATTGTCTGTATAAAGAAGTGGAGTAAGAGAGCGTGACCTCACCCACAGCGTTCAGCTCCACTCCAATGAATTTTAGGAATAGGAATTTGTTAATGGACAAAACAGAGAAATAAAAAAACACCAGGATCATGTGGAGCAGGTTAATACGAACATTTTAAAACCGAAACGACGAGGCTCACAGCAGCAGTTACCAGTGTTGGGAATGTGACTTTTAAAATATATTCCCCTACAGATTACAGATTACAGACTACATATCCCAAAATGTTGTTTGTAACGTAATCCATTAAATTACTTAAAGTGAGTAACGTAATCTGAATACTTTGGATTACTTGATATTGTCATGCTTTTTAAAACTACATGAATGTACCAACCACATCCTGAAAATTCTTGTTTGTTCAGTCTTTACTTAACCACGTTATAAATATTATTGATACAGAAATTATTTTTATGAGATCACTGCTGCTTTAAATTATGTTCACCTACTGTTACTGTCATATTGTATTAGTTTACTCCTGGTTTTAGTCCTGGTTTTAGTCCTTGTTTAGACCTGGTTATGGTTTAGTCCTCCTGGTTTAGTCTGTTTTAGTTTTAGTTGGTTTAGTCCTGGTTTTAGTCCTGGTTTAGTCTGTTTAGTCCTGGTTTAGTCCTGGTTTAGTCCTGGTTTGTCCTGGTTAGTTTTAGTCCTTTGGTTTAGTCCTGGTTTAGTCCTGGTTTAGTCCTGGTTTTAGACCTGGTTTAGTCTGGTTTAGTCCTGGTTTCAGTCCTAGTTTAGTCCTGGTTTAGTCCTGGTTTTAGTCCTTGTTTAGACCTGGTTTAGTCCTGGTTTAGTCCTGGTTTTAGACCTGGTTTAGTCCTGGTTTAGTCCTGGTTTAAACCTGTTTTAGTCCTGGATTTAGTCCTTGTTAAGACCTGGTTTAGTCCTGGTTTAGACCTGATTTTAGTCCTGCTTTAGTCCTGGTTTTAGTCCTAGTTTAGTTCTGGTTTAGACCTGGTTTTAGTCCTTGTTTAGACCTGGTTTTAGTTCTGGTTTAGACCTGGTTTTAGTCCTGGTTTAGTCCTGGTTTAGTCCTGGTTAGTCCTAGTTTAGACCTGTTTTACCTGTTTAGTCCTGGTTTAGTCCTAGTTTAGTCCTTGTTTAGACCTGGTTTAGTCCTGGTTTAGTCCTGGTTTAAACCTGTTTTAGTCCTGGTTTTAGTCCTTGTTAAGACCTGGTTTAGATCTGAATTTAGTCCTAGTTTAGTTCTGGTTTAGACCTGGTTTAGACCTGTTTTAGTCCTGGTTTTAGTCCTAGTTAAGTTCTGGTTTAGACCTGGTTTTAGTCCTGGTTTGGTTTAGTCCTGGTTTAGTCCTGGTTTAGTCCTGTTTTAGTCCTGTTTAGTCCTAGTTTAGTTCTGGTTTAGTCCTGGTTTTAGTCCTGGTTTAGTCTGGTTTAGTCTGGTTTAGTTAGTTTAGTCCTGTTTTAGTCTGGTTAGTTCTGGTTTAGACCTGTTTTAGTCCTAGTTTAGACCTGGTTTAGTCCTGGTTTAGTC